TGATGATGATGATGATGATGATGATGATGATGATGATGATGATGTGGTGGTGGTGTAATTATTGCTAATGGTTCCCAGTACCTTTGACAAGCCTTGATCTCGTGGCACAGGGGGACATACGTGTAGTTTAATGAAGACGTAATGTAATAATTAATTTTGGACCTTTCCCCTTCTCCTCTATTCACATCCTACTCCACTCCCACCCCTACCTACCTCGTCTTATCTACCTGCAGAATGAGGAGCAAGCTGAAAGGATTCAGAGACAGGTAAGTACCACGAGTTGTATTAATTTTTAGTCACGATAGTGAAGTAGAAAATACCACTAAGTCTTGTATTGATTTTTAATCTCTATCATGAAGTAGAAACTACAAATAGACTCATTTGTGAGCTGATAAGAACAGGCTGAGAATGACCCCCCCCCCCTTTTTCACCTTCACATATCCCGTAGACTGGATGTCCGTTGAGGCGCTTTTGAAGATTTGGCCTCCAGCTTCCTTCCTTCCTACCGGTTTTCAGATTTCCTGAGCGTGTCTTTGAGATTCCCACCCCCACCCCCTAAAAATAACAACAACAACAACAACAAAAAACTCCACGTCCGTGAGTGAGTCATTCAGTATGGTCCCTAAGCATCGAACAGTCAACATTCATTGATAGATCAACATTACTAACTCCCAGTGCACACAACACAAAGTTTCCTCACATCCCTGTTTGATATAGTTTGATACATTTGACAATTATTTTATATCGTACCTATTTCGCTACTCCAGAATTACAAAGTTCTATCTACTCAGTACAAAGTTTTGAGAAATCAGACGTTAAAAAACAACTGAGTTTCAACAGCTTGTCAAGCTTTTTTAAATGCTACTCTGGGAATATCTCGATAACGACTCCAAATAATCTTACTATTCTGATAGAGCAGATAGAACATAATTTGTTTTATTTTCTGACCTCATGGCCCAAGTAACCCAAAATAGCCAAAAATATCCGATAGAATTTTGTAATTCTGAGGTAGCGATCTGTTAATGTATGTGTATCTCTACCAAGAGGAAGACGTATGTGGATGATTCTGAGGAAGCAATTTATCCACCAACCCCTCATCAACATGGCTACTTTGATATCGTACATGCCCAAGACATGCCGTAAACACTAAATTTTAATGTTGTGTTTTCTCTTTGTTTTAATTATAACTAACTGAAAAGGGATGGGAGGGACGGAAGGGGGAGGGGGGAGGGGGGAGTTATGACTTTCATCAAAAGGATGCCAAAAATAGAGACACAGGACATATTATAGTCACATGACGTCGTATACAACAGGGAGGTTCTCCTGGCGTTGTCCCCAACAGCATTGTGTGTACACCTGGCCTTATCTTCACACACGTGCGATTCCCCTTTTTAGATTACTCTTAGAAAGTATTTTCCCTCTGGGCGCTAAGACTGAAACGGTTTCAATATTCCTGTATTTCTCTAACAGGCAGTAAATCTGTGGCCCTCCCACCCTCCTCCCCCCCCCCCAACCCCTCTCCGGCCTGCCATGGAAATGAAATAGAGCTCTTTGAAGTGAACGTTTTAAAATATATTCTTAAAAATGTTGCTTATTGAATATTGTTTAATTTTTGCTTCACAGATAAACAAACTGAACGAAAGATTGGAGGAAAGGGTAAGAATGTTTGAGAGAGCAGTACTGTTACACCATAGCATAGACAAATGTTCATTATACGACGTAGATATCGACGGTTTTCCTCAAATCCATTTTTTTGATATCCCATGGCCACATATATTTCTTCTCTACATAGTATTTTACTCTTACCTTAAACACTGAATAAAATACTTACTTTACTAAGTGAAAATCAGTCGGTAAATACTTTACTTACTTTACTAAGTGAAAATCAGGCGGTAAATACTTTATTTACAGTCTGACCTTCATATCGAAAAGATATGTGACAGATAAAGATCTTATCTATGCATAATATAATCAACAACAAAAGAAACGCAAGATATATACAAAATAAAGGAAGATAAGACATTGGTAATTAAGTTGTGATTTTATTAATTTCTGGTCACTTTTACTTTTATTGAAGAAGATTCCTTCGCTGAGTCGTGGCATGGTCGCTGGCTCAAAACACTCGACTGAAGAGACCCGAAATGACCTAAAAAGACCCGAGAGGACCCCAAAAGACCCGAGAAGACCCGAAAAGACCCAAAAAGACGCTAAAAGACCCGAGAAGACCCGAAAAGACCCAAAAAGACCCAAATAGAGCCGAGAAGCCCCGAAAAGACAGCCGAAAAGACCCGAGCAGACACGGAAAGACACTAAATGACCCGAAAAGAAATACATGGTTTATTTATTCATTGTTTATTTATTTGTTGTCACCAGTTCTGTAAAGACAAAAAATAATATCGATCCTTTGTGGAGCTACTCTTAAAAAACTTTAAAACACTTACACTCATTTCTTTCATTTGCTTAAAGGGGGTATTATTATCGATTTGTTACAGTTAGTGACAAATAAATAAACAACAAATAAATAAACAATAAATAAATAAACCATGTATGTCTTTTCGGGTCATTTAGTGTCTTTTCGTGTCTTGTCGGGTCTTTTCGGCTGTCTTTTCGGGTCTTTTTGGGTCTTCTCGGGTCTTCTCGGTAAAAATAAATACACTTCTCAGAGGGTAAAAACTGCTCGCCATTAACAGGCATGCTCAAGAAAATATTCAGTTTGCATTTTTTTTCTTCGCCGCCATATTGTGACCTCATTTTATACTGAGAGCATTTTTCAGCTCGGTGACATGAGCTCACTATATGTGAGGCAGCGTGGTGGAATCATGCTCTCGCCAATTTTTGGACATGTAGAGTTATTGGTAACATCTTAAAGCTTATTCAATTGTCTTTATTTGGATTTTAAAAAATTATCTTGAATGCAAGTCGAGATATTTGCGAAAGAAGGAGGTGGGGGTCACCTGTTTTCAGATGTAAAATCAGTGAGAAAATGTCCGCCAAAGATTAGTGATTTCCTTAGCTTAAGAGTCCGTGGTAACTGAAAATTTACATTTCTGTGCCTTTAATCTACGCTTTTCAGAAAAATCCACACAGAAATTAGATCTTTAATGGGCATGAAAGGTGTTGAGCCAAAAACCAAAAATTTGCTAAAAATTTACAAACTTTCGGAAAAATGCAAGTTTCTTCCTTTTGATTATTTTGACGAGAGCCTGATTCTACCACGCTGCCTCACATATCACTGAATACAAGAACCTCGGTCATGGCCTACATTCTAGCGAATGTGGGTTATTATACTTTAAACACCTGCGTCTTTAAAAGTAGGTATACGATGACTTGCGTAACTTTAGTTGTTGAGTATACTATGTTTTACGTACACACCTGTCCTTTGATTTTTGAGGTGTGATATTTTTTTTAACGCATTGAGCTTTTTTTTTTTTTTTAGAAAATGGAAATGAGCAGCATAAATGATAAATGCTATTTTTTTTATTGATTGTTATTATCCAATGTGTGTGAGTGAGTGTGTGTTTGTGTGTGTTTGGATTTTTGGAGGGGGGGGGGGATTGTTTCAAGGTAGCTGTAAGCTGTGTCGTCAATCTGTCCATCTGTCCATTTTCTCAACAGCTCACCAAGCAGGCTGAGCGTCGTGTGAACCTGTTGAACCGTCGTCAGCAGCGCTTAGAGAGGCTGGTGAGTTCTTCACGTCAAGTTTGTACAGGTGTTATGGAAGTAGTTTTGTAGAGGTTTTACGGCGCTCGCAACTGCATAAGGTCATACGAGCGCCAGAAGATTAGGGGTGTTACAAG